GACCCTTTACAGAAAGTTTGCCAAGCCCTGCTTTAGTGACTCCTTTGAGATTTTGGCTACATGTAGGATTTATAAAGTGATCAAGTTATAGTAAAATAAAGTAAAATGTTCAGTTGATTTCCTTTCTATACTATCTAAAACACTGTCAGATGCCTGTATCATATAGACAAAGACTTATGCTTAGCTGAAACGAAGGAGGGAGAAGAAACTTCCAATTCCTATACTTGTTCTTTATTCCAAAAGGCAGCCCCAAGTTTGCCTGCCTGCCAAATGCTGAACACACTGTTAATTATAATGCTAACCTACATTACAGGAGAACTGTGAAGAGCAATGATAAAGCAATTTAGAAAAAATGTTGCTCTGGAAGCAGGAACAACATTAACTTAGGAGCAAAATTCCCGTCTGTAGAGAATTCATTTTTTCACTATTTCTTTCATATTTCCCCATTTCTTTCATGACTCTATTTTAAGAGTTTACAAAACTCAAATTTGTGATGGCACATTATATATCAAATAAACTTTTTCTTTATACACAATCTCTGACTATTTTCTAATGTACTATTTCAGAATCGTTTATTCCAAGTACTGAACCCCCCAGAGAAATTTATGGCCAGAATTTTTAAAAACTAGCCATAAAAACTGAACCACCACATTTTATTACTTTAGCCTGAATATACACTGAAATCCAGGGTAATAATTACACTATTTCCCTCCAAGAAAAGTACTCAAGGATAGGGTATAATAAAGAAACATTAAAAGTCCCCTAAACTCTAGATGCAGTGACAGAGTAAGACTGTCTCCAAATATTGGGGAGGGGAAAAAAAAAGTTCCCTAAGCTATTGCCAGCTGCTATTTATTTATTTATTTTTAGAGATAAGAGTCTCACTTTGTTGCCCTTGACAGAATGCTGTGGCATCACAGCTCACAGCAACCTCCAGCTCTTGGGCTTAGGCGATTCTCTTGCCTCAGCCTCCTGAGTAGCTGGAACTACAAGTGACCACAATGCCCAGCTATTATTTTGTTGCAGTTTGGCAGGGGCTAGGTTTGAACCTGCCACCCTCAGTATATAAGGCCAGAGTGTTTTTAATAACAAATTTAAGTGTTTGGTAATTTTGAAGTCTGTTTACAATCAGAGGATAAGCATGCCATCTCATAGCATCTGGAAATATGAAGGAAACCTATTTATGCAGTGAATGCTAGCACAAATCACTCCTAAATGCCTAATACCAGGCTAATCATTAACAGCTGACATTTACCAAATGTCAAGCAATTGTGCCAACTGTTCTATTTGTATTTTCTCACTTAATCCTTACAATACTTTCAAAGTAGACAGATGTTTCTATTATTACAGTTGAAAACAAGATTTAGAGAGGTTCCCTTGGTGAAAATCACTCACCTTATAAGCACTGAAGCCAGGACTCAAAACCAAGTCTGCCTGTCTTTACAACCAATATTCATGTGCTCTATACTACACCTATTTAATTAAGAAATAACGTTGCACAAAACCATAGGTTCTGTCTAGGTCAGTGGTTCTCAACCTGTGAGTTGTGACCCTTTTGTAACAATGAAAATACATCCTGCATATCAGATATTTATATTATGATTCATAGCAGTAGCAAAATTAGAGTTATGAAGTAGCAACGAAAATAATTTTATGATTGGGGGTCACCACAACATAAAGGGTATTAAAGGGTTGCAGCATTAGGAGGCATTAGGAAGGTTGAGAACTACTGGTCTAGGTGAAGATGGTGGATAAGCACATATATCTACTTAACTCCCTCCTGAACTCCCATTAAATGAATGCAAGGGTTTCTGTTTTAAGGTATAAACCTAAAAGTACAGATGAAGAGAACAGGAAGCAACATGAAAAGCTAGAAGGTGGAAAATAGACCAGAAGTAAAATAATGTAGCAGACTAAAGAAAATTGAACTCTGAACCAGTTGAGGGAAGAGCAAAGCAAACAACTCCCCCATCACCATACAACCCAATTTACATCAGAGAATCTCTAAAAAGGCCAGAAACATGAGGTTTCATGTGCCTCTGGAACCAGCAAGTGAAGGGGTAGACACTTGAGATTAAGAGTGTCTCTACCAACTAAGTTAGCCACGCCCTGATGGGTTAGACACTTGAATTGGTTCAAGGTTTAAGTAATCAGATGCAATTCTACACAGACAAGCAGATTCTCTTCCTCAATGCACTCACTAAATTAGAAGTTTATTTTGTGAAAGGGTAAGATAGAGGATATCCAGATTGTGGGATGCCAGGCAATTTAGGCAGAAATAGTGTACTCACAACACAAAAACTCAGTAAGTAAATGAATATTGGTTATAGATAATTAAGTACACATATCTTTCTGCCTTGGGCCTTACTACAGACCTCTTTCCTTACTTAAGTTGCAGAATGTTGGCAAGGCCTCATTCTTCACCTGGGAGACTGAAAAAAATCTTTGTTCTCTAAGCAAACACCAGTTCAAAATGAAACTAGAGATAATGACATAAAATTATAAAAGAATATAAACATTCTCTTAACTACATGGTCCAATAGACAACCCTTTAGCACAGCTTAACATTAACATGCTCCACCCACTCAGGGCCTGTAATCAATGTTAGTTTTGTATTTTTGATCTATTTTTTTAACATTAACACGCTCCACCCACTCAGGGCCTGTAATCAATGTTAGTTTTGTATTTTTGATCTATTTTTTTAACATTAACATACTCCACCCACTCAGGGCCTGTAATCAACGTAAGTTTTGTATTTTAAATCTATTTTTTTAGAGATGAGGTCTCACTGTTACCCAGGCTGGAGTGCATGATCACAGTTCACTGCAATCTCTAACTCCTGGGCTCAAGAGATCCTCCTACCTCAGCCTCCTGAGTAACTGGTACTCAAGTTCATGCCACTACACCTGGCTAATTTTTCTTATTTCTTATAGAGATAAGGTCTTGCTATATTCTCCAGGATGGCTCTGAGCAACTCCTAACCTCAAGCAATTCTCTCACCTCAGCCTCTGGAATTACTGGGATACTAGGCACGAACTAATGCATCTGGTGTGTCTCTTATAATTAAATATGAGCAGACAACCAACAATTACCAGATATGCTAGGAAAGCATTTCGTATGAAAGTAACAAAAGCAATTTTAGATAAAATAGACGGGAGAAAAAGAAAACATCAAAAGTACTATCATTCTGCAAAGAGGGGAGACAGAGAACAGAAGAGGAAGAAATCATAAAAATCCTCAAAATTTCTGAGAATTAAAGGACACAAGTGTCAACTTCAAACAGGTTCACCAAGTGCCCAGCACAATGAATTAAAATAAACACCAAGGGCGGTGCCTGTGCTTAGTGGGTAGGGTGCTGGCCCCCATATACCGAGCTCCGCAGGTTCAAACCCGGCCCAGGCCAAACTGCAACAAAAGAATAGTTGGGCATTGTGGCAGGCGCCTCTAGTCCCAGCTACTCAGGAGGCTGAGGCAAGAGAATCGCCTAAGCCCAGGAGTTGGAGGTTGCTGTGAGTTGTGATGCCACAGCACTCTACTGAGGGCGACAAAATAAAACTTTTTTTTTTAAAGAGACAAACACTAAATTATGTCATCATGGAATATAAGAATACTAGGAACAAAAGATTCATGTGTCTCAGGAAGAAAACATTTAGTCCCACAAAAATATCAGACATCAGAATGGTTTCAGATTTCTTAGCAGCAGTACTGAAAACTAGAGGCCGTACTACAATACTTTAAAGTTGTGAAGAAAAATGATCTGCAACCTAGATATCAAACAAATGTCCAGTCTAGCCTAGGGCAGTTCAAAATGCTCCAGGGAAGATTTATTCAAGATGAAACAGAGTCCAGAAGACAGCTGGACACTGCAAGTGATTTAGATAAATGGCACAAGTTTAGTGGATATAGCAGAAAGTGCACAGAAAACTAAGCCTAGGAAAAACAAAAAGTAGAAAGTTCACAAAAAACTAAGCCTAGGGAAAACAAAAAGATATGCCAGAAAAGAAAACCACAAACTGAACTTATAATCCTAATGATACCGATCCAGTCAAATTTACACTGCATTGTACACTGGAAGGAAGCAATGACAAGTAAAAAAGTGAACGCAGCTGTTTCTGAGAAGATTAAGGACTACCCCTTGCCCTCAACAAATTCAGAGGACTGTTTGCTTTTAAAATACAGCATTTTTTCCTTTGGTAGTATTTCATATACTCGGCATCAAGCAGTAATGCTGCCTTTCACTAAAACTGCTTGTCAATAAAACATCATACCTGGCTTGATGCCTGTGCTCAGCAAGTAGGGCTCCAGCCACATACATGGGAGGTGGTGGGTTTGAATCCAGCCTGGGCCTGCCAAACAACCACTATTACAACCAAAAAATAGCTGGGCATTGTGGCAGGTGCCTCTAGTCCCAGCTACTTGGGAGGCTGAGGCAAGAGAATCACTTAAGCCCAGGAGTTTGAGGTTGCTGTGAGCTATCACTCCACGGCTACTCTACCAAGGGTGACAAAGTGAGACTCTGTGTCAAAAAAAAAACCAAACCAACTTTATCAGGATAACAAATTCTCAAGTCTAAAACAAGAAGAACTCAACTACTTAATGTAGCTTGTAATAATATCACAAGGGTCTCACGGGTGATTAATGGTTTGCAGCAAAAAGCAGAATAAGAAAAATAGAAACCAGTCCAGGCATGGTGGCTCATGCTTATAATTCTAGCACTTTGGGAGGCTGAGGTAGGAGGACTGTTTGAGGCCAGGAGTTCAAGATCAGCCTGGGCAACAAAGCCAGACCCTGTCTCTACAAAAAATAAAGAAAAATAAAAAAGAAAAGAAATTGATTTTACAAATTTTGTATGTTTATTAAAAACTAGTGGTCCTGTGCTTAAATGTCCTTGTGGTTATGTGGTAACATCTGTGAAACATACATAACTATTATAAGGGACTCTTCACAAATACACTCCAGACAGAAGTAAAAAGATAAGCAGAAATGACTGACAAGTCAGTGCCATTTCAGACCCAGTTCCCTTATAACTAATACTTGCTTTAAAATGGAGTTTGACATTATTTACAATCACACCAACATTCACAGAGGCCAAATATCACAGGCATAAGGGTACACCATGACCACAAGACATCTTTTCATAATTCCCAAATAGTTTTATATTTTAGCTATGAAGGTCAATTACCAGAGCCAAACTTGTTCTTAACAAGCAGAATATTTACGTCCAATCAAAGTCTCTCACACCTTTCTGGGCCTATTCATTTGCAGACAGGAGTAGAAACTGTAACCAAGTTCTTCATATCTTCATATCACATGTGATACCCAATCTTCATATGCTGTCCAATTTCTTTAAGATAAAAGGAGCTGAAAAACAAATAAACCTAAAATTAGTTTTCATATCTATTAGGCCACATGCTACACTATAGAATTATATGACTGGGAGAAAAACAGGTTTAGCTCAACACATTTTTTGAAAACAATCCAACCGATAGCCAATTCTCTGACTGTACAATCCAGCATAAAGGACACATTGCCTTCCAACGCACTCCATTCCACTGTCAGTCAGCTATGATTGTTATAAATTTCATTCACGGACTGTGTAAAATCTTTTCTCCAGGTAGTTCTCTTAGGGCCATAAAATGCAAATCTGATTCTCTTTCAAATGACAACCCTATATCCTGATAATTTATTTTAATTGCAAAAGGAATGAAATTCTAAATGAAACAAATAGGCATTTTTTTACCTTTACAGACTCATCTGAAAGGTAGAAGGTAGGGAACTGGAATAACTGAACATCTATTTTGGTTTTCTCACTGATGAGCTATGTATTAGTTATACGCTCCAGATCACATCTGATACAGTTATTATGAGAGTCTGGTAAGATGATACACATACAAAAAAAAAAAAAAAAGATGGTACACATACAAATGTATAGAAAACTAAGAAGTGCTATCATATGGATCTAAAGAATGATATTGGCCTGGGTAAAATTGCTATGGCCAGAAAAGCTGTCAGAATGACCTTCTTTCTCAATAGTCATACTAAGAGAATATTTTAATATTAAACTGAAGGGGCTCAGCGCCTGTGGCTCAAGCAGCTAAGGCGCCAGCCACATACACCTAAGGTGGCGGGTTCAAATCCAGCCCGGTCCCGCCAAACAACAATGACGGCCGCAACCAAAAAATAGCCGGGCATTGTGGCAGGCGCCTGTGGTCCCAGCTACTTGGGAGGCTGAGGCAGGAGGCTCGCTTGAGCCCAGGAGTTGGAGGTTGCTGTGAGCAGTGAAGCCATGGCACTCTATCCAGGGGGACAGCTTAAGGCTTTGTCTCAAAAAAAAAAAAATTAAACTGAAGGTACTGAGATCTGTCAGAAGCTGATAAAGTCAGCAGTCTATCTACTCTTTTCTAGTTCTTAATCAAGAGAATAACATCCATCGAATGATGATGGATAAACAAAATGTGGTATAGCCATACAATTAAATTTTATTTAGCCACAAAAAGGAATGAAATTCTAACATATGCTACAACATAGATGAATGTTGAAAACATGCAAAGTGAAATAAGCCAAATACAAAAGGCCACATGTTTTACAATTCCATTTAAATGAAACATCCAGAATAGGCAAATCCATGAAAAAAAAATTAATAGTTGCCAAGGGCTGGAGAAAGAGGGAAGTGGGGTAACAGCTAATGGGTATCTTTATGTATATAGAATTGATTGTGGTTATGACTACACAATGCTGACTCTGCTAAAAACCCACTGGTACACCTTAAATGGGCTTGCAATTATATAACATGCATATTGTATCTCGACTCAAGCAATAATAAACCAAATCAAGCTGGGTTCAGTGGCTCACGCCTGTAACCCTACCACTTTGGAAGGCTGAGGTGGGAGGACTGATTAAGGCCAGGAGTTTGAGACCAGCCTGAGCAAGAGCAAGACCCCAGTATCTGCAAACAATAGAAAAATTAGCCAGTGTGGTGGTGCACACACCTGTATTCCCAGCTACTCAGGAGGCTACAGTAGGAGAATCACTTGAGCCCAAGAGTTTGAGGTTGATGTGAGTTACAATGACACTAATTGTACTCTATCCTGGGCAACAAAAAGAGAAACCCTTGGCTCAGTGCAGGTAGCTCAGGGGTTAGAGTGCTGGCCACATGCACTGAGGCTGGCAGTTAGAACCAGCTGGGCCTGCTAAACAAACAAACAAACAAACAAACAAACAAAAAAATAGCCGGTCGTTGTGGCAAGCACCTGTAGTCCCAGCTACTTGGGAGGCTGACGTAAGAGAACTGCTTAAGCCCAAGAGTTTGAGGTTGCTGTGAGCTGTGACACCGCAGCACTCTACTGAGGGAGACATAGTAAAACTCTGTCTCAAAAAAAAAAAAAAAAAGGAGAGAGAGAGAGAGACCCTGTCTCACCTTCTTCCCCACCAAAATATGAAAGTTGCAAGAAGCTGCGGAATGATGATTTGGGTTTTTCTGCTCTCCAAGGCTCCCTCTCCTGGGGAAGCAGAGTAATACCACTTTTCAGTGAAAGACACTGAATAAGGGAGAGTGCGGCATGGGTGGCTCTGGCTCTAGCTCATCATCCTACATGAGCCTTCTATAGGATGATGTTGGTATAGCCTTTATTTACCTGAATCATCCCCACTTTAACTCCAGACCAACCAACAATATACAGCATAGAACAACGAAAAGGATACTGAATGGGAATGAGGAGGCGGGAGCAAATCACCCCTGAGAGTCATATAAGTAAAATTAGGAAAAGGATCTATAAAACTACTTCCAGCTCTTAGATTCAGTGTGCGTGTAACTGTGAGACCATATTAAGAATCTTAGGCCCTGCCTCTGTCAAAAGGCCACTGTCAATAACAAGTAATCTAAGCAACTTTCTGCTAGCTGTAAAATCAAATAAAATCTCAGACATTTGCATTAATCCTATAGAGTGATAGTTTTCGTTCCCTCAAAATGAAAGGCAATTTTTACTTCGCCCTCTAAACACAAAGCAGTGAAGCACAACATTTTGTATTTAATGTCAACACTAAAAGAAAGGAACCGGGTAATGAGTTAAGAGCTCTGGATTCTAGGTCAACACTCAGTGAATGGGTGAATGACCTTGGGCCAGCCATTTCCTTACTCTGGTATTGTTTCTCTGACTGCAAAACGAGGAAATTGTTTTGGGAGCTATCCCTCGATGCTCTTTTAATTCAAGCGCACTTACTGTGGGGAAAGCTAGAATGATTAACCACGCTCGCCAGGCCACCACGTGCACTTGGGTAGCCCCTACCCGCAGACCCCAAAACGCACATACGCCGGTCGCTTTCGAGGTGCATGCCCCCTGTTTTCCCGCGCCCGCTCGGCTCAGTTCCTCAAAGGCCCCCAAGGGCCCACGGGATAGAGTCGGGTGGGCGGTATTGGCTTGCTCCCTGCTGGTCTCAGGGGTGCAGCCCAGGACACTCACTAACTCGCAGCAAGGCCACATAGATGAGGAAGTTCCGTATGGAGGAAATCACGTCCTCACGCATCTTCCGTTTCATCTCCTCCGGGTCCAGCTTCGGCGCGAGGCCCTCGATACGAAACATCGCAGCTTTAACTCCTCAGCTTTCAGCTGCCGCCCTCAGCTCTTAGCGGCCGCCTGGCGCCCGGAACTCTGCCCAACCCCACTTCCTGTTCCCACCTCTGGCTTCCACCCGCTGCAACGGAAGCCTGCGAGAGACAATCCGCGTCCTGACCGGGGCGCTCTGGAGAAGGGCGGCCTGAAGGGGGCAGCAGCAAGCTCGGCGACGCAGACTCGTGTTCCTCCTAGTTTCTGTAATCTCTGGCTTGCCGGGACCGCTACGCTGCCAAGTGCTCTGGAGGGGACTATGCACAAGGCTACCACCGTAAATAATGATAGCTGACATTTATTAAATACTCCATACAGTTGTACCCCACGAATTAGATATTATAATCTCGTTATTCTCTTTTCCTAGCTTAGAAAATGAAGCGCAGAGATCTTTAAAATCACAATTGCCCAAATGTGCTTTAAAATACCTCAGGCGTAAAAAAGTATGAAGTAGGAGTGATGAAATGATATTAAGCACTTAATCTAGTCATGAGTACATCGTTTTAGTTAATTATTCCGCTCTATCTTGAGTGTGTTTGAAATTTTACGTGATAAATTAAGAAGACGAAGGTGATAAAACTTGCCCAAGTTCACACAACTGGTAAATGGTAGAGCAGGGTTTTGTAACTAGTTGGGCCTGTTGAACCCCAGAGACAGAGTTTTTTGTTTTTTGTTTTAACATTTTCCATATTTTTGCTGCATTGTCCTTTCTGGAGTTAACGTATCCTTACAAATTATTATATTGGCCTAGGGATACAGATGTATAAAATGAGTTCAAATCTGATCAATATTTTACAGAGACCAAGTGCACTAAAATCTAAAGTCATTCTGTTAGTGCTGTGCATGGGTAGAGTTCTAGTAGATATTTACAATGTCAATTGAATTCTCTTTCCCCTGCACCCTACTGCTCCTCTGTTAGCCTTTAACAGTGCCTGCATGTATAGATATCTCTGGAGACAGAAGATGATAGGGGTTTGATGCAACCAGATTTCCTATCACAGAATCATCAAAACAGGGTTAGTAGGCTGCTGCCCCAAGTTATGCATGCCATCAAGCCATATGTAATTCTCGCCCATGAATCAGATGACTGAATTGCTCACATACTCAAAACCAGAATGTTCTTTCTTGACTGCACATTGTATAGCAACAATAGATCTTGGATAATTTAAAACAGTAACTTGCTATGGTGGTAACTGATAATAATATTAAGCATTGTCACCCACCTTCCTGATTGACAAAAGAAGACACTAGGGCAAGAAAGGGAACTCGCATTCAGTCAACCTTTAGTAACCTCTTACTTCTATAATTCCTCTAGTGGAATAGAAGAGGCAGCTGTGGAATAGGACAGACTGATTCCTAAGGAAATAGCCTCCAACCAATCCTTCTAGACTATTTAGAAACCATATCTTATTTTGGAAAGCAGCAGAGGCTGTGGAAAGAATCTGAACAGAAAGACTGGAGACATGATCTGGCACTGCCACTAACTAGCCATGTGTTAAAGGACAAATCTCTGATTTCACTGCAATTCCATTTCTCTGTAAATGGAGGGCATATGATTTACTCTGTTGTAAAGGGAAGGCATGTGCGTAGATGCTCTTGAAAGTCTCTTCCATTTCTCACAGTCAATATGTTTTTAAAAACAGTCTGTGAGTTTTTAATTCAAATTGTACCATCTAAAACAGTGGTTCTCAATGTGTGGGTCACCCAGGAACTGTATTAAAAGGCTATGGCATTAGGAAGGTTGAGAACCACCGATCCAAAACATTCTGTTCTAGAGTGTATGACTATCAAAATATCACTTCATCATATGTGGTCAGACATTAACACAGCCAGTGTGTGTTTTCCATGGTAGGAAGAATATAACAATAAGGTATATCTCATCTTTCTGGATAGTGAGGCAAAACACATTAGGAAGAAATGAGTTAAACTTAGGCCCCCTAAAGTTAAACAGTGCACGTGGAATTATCAATTTCTTTTCCTTAGTGAGATGCTTTTGAGTAACTTTCCTGGATTCATAGGAAAACAAAGAGGGGATAAAATAGCTAAAAACCATGTTTCTTGGTGAAAAGAACAAGTTTTCAGCATTTGAATTTTATTCAACCAATGCTGGATTAAAACCAGACCCTTTTTGGCTCGGCGCCTGTGGCTCAAGCGGCTAAGACGCCAGCCACATACACCTAAGGCGGTGGGTTCGAATCCAGCCCAGACCTGCCAAACAATAATAATGGCTGCAACCAAAAAAAAAAAAAAATAGCCGGGCGTTGTGGCGGGCGCCTGTGGTCCCAGCTACTTGGGAGGCAGAGGCAGGAGACTCGCTTGAGCCCAGAAGTTGGAGGTTGCTGTGAGCAGTGAAGCCATGGCACTCTACCCAGGGTGACAACTTGAGGCTCTGTCTCAAAAAAAAAAAAAAAAAAAAAAACAAAGAAAAAACCAGACCTTTTTTACCTGGCAGATGATGTCGTAGCAAATGGCTGGCCTATTAAATGGCAACATTATTCTCATTATTCTCATAACAATTCTCTTAGAAGGGTCTGGTACTTGCCTATGTATGGAGATAGAGGAAGGTAGTGGGAGAAATATAAAGCAGCCATGTCTTGGGGGGAGGAAATGGTTTTGGATACAGTCTAGAAAGGAGAACCATTTCTGTCTCAGAAAGGTTCATTTCTGGTGGGTTCTCTCATCCCCTTACATGGTTCTTCTAGTTATAATGGAAGAAAGTCATTAAAAGTAATTTCCTGTTGGAGGGCTTTAAAAAATGCTTATTTTTTTGGTGTGTAGGTGGTGGTATTGTCTAATTACAGTGGGTTTAGTCAAGGCAAATGGAGAGAGCATACTTCATGAAGTGAACACTGGATGGAGCTGTTTCACATCCTGGACCTCTCAATGGGATGAGAAGGTAGGGTCTAATCTTTAAAGTTGCCTGCAGTTCTAAAGTATCATGATTCTGTGTTCATCTTTCCTGTTTTCCTATATGACCTTGAACTAAAGACTAAGAGCAATGGATTTACTGTGATTTGCCATGAAAGGCAAAAAGTATGCACATATAATTTAATATTGATATTTGTATTGTTTAGTCTGAACACAGAGGAAATGGCAGCTGATGTCATAGCCTGTCTTGTTTTCCATTCAGGTCCCAAGAGGGATTAAGGAGCCATTTCCTTTGCCTCGACTTCCCAGATATGGAGATAGTACTGTGCACAATCATTCAGAGAATTAAGTGCTTTAATTTCCATCACTGGGGAGGAATTTGTAATTGAAAAGTCAGAAAGTGACTGATGACTCATGACTGGGGAATAAACCCAGCAGAAAATCATGGGAATTTTATGATTCCTAATTCATAGGGAGCTATGGGCTTTGAGTATTGTTCAACCCCTTCATTTGACAAATGAGGGAACTGAGGCCCAGAGGGAAGCTAGTTAGGTGCAGAGTTAGCTGGGATCAGAATAAGTCCCTGGTCTCCCAGTTTAGCACCTTTCCCCTTCATACTTTGCTGCTTTTGCTACTTCAACTGTGAATATTCTCGTGGACAATCCTCCTCTCAAAGGTAAGGAAATTGGAAGAATAGGAGGTTGCTAAAATTCAGTTTGGGAGGGATGGGGTAAGGGTTGGCTACTGTTCAGGACTGCTGAGGGCAGTCCTTCTTTCTACCTTTCCACACTCATCACCAGTAATTAATCTGGACTGTGTTATTATCCTGCTTTACACCTCCCCTTCCTCATTCCTTCAGGAGATGAATATGGCCTGGAATTCCTAAAATAATCTTGACTTTGAAGTCCATTCAGGACCCAAGATGAATGAAACAAAGGTCTGGGCCAAGAAAGGACACTTGGACTCTCAATAAACGTTGTTTTGTGATAGATACTAAGCAGACTGCTCACTCCGCAGAGAGGATAACTTAGTTTTAGAAATTACTGGCCAGCAACAGCCATCTTCAGGAAGAAGGGACTTTAGAACATTAAAGGAGGGGTAGAATTTTGATAACCTTCCCTTCATTGGCATTCGCTTTCTATAATACCCTGTTCTTTGTTCTAATTTTTAGGACTTTGTTGTCTGGATGATTCGTGAATGTTTGCTGTCTTGCCAAGTGGACTGTAAGCACGTAAGTACAAGGAATATGTCATCACTCATTCTTTAATCCTCAAAAAAACTGAGGACAGGTGTGTGTATGTGATGAAACCTCAGTAAGTACCCCTGAGTGAATGAATGAATTTCTACTAATTTCTACTAATGTCTACTAATGTTTAGAATTTTAAAATTGATGGCTTTGTTTATTAGGTTGAAAGGAAATTTCCCCCAAAGAAATTTACCCCCAATTCTACATAACATTTTTATATAGTTACCTATTTTCTCACTGTTCTTGTATAGCTTATTTATGTTTGATTAAATAAAAATTATTTTAAATAATGTTAGTGTCTTATAGGTAAAGTTGAACAGTTAAAGTTAAATGTTAAAATTTATTTGTGTTCATTTATTTATAGAAATATAATTAGATAAAACTCATATCATTATTCTTTTTTTGAGACAGAGTCTCAAGCCGTCGCCCTGGATAGAATGCCATGGCATCACGGCTCACAGCAATCTCAAACTGTTGGGCTCAAGTGATCCTCTTGCCCCAGCCTCCCAAGTAGCTGGGACTACAGGTGCCCACCACAACACCTGGCTGTTTTTTAGAGATGGGGTCTTGCTCTTCTTCAGGCTGGTCTCAAACTCGTGAGCTCAGGCAGTCCACCCACCTTAACCTCCCAAAGTGCTAGTGACTCTCTTTTTTTCCTGAGGAAAAAAGCACTCTGGCCAAGAATGTAGGTATTCGATCCCTAGACCTTTTGGAACTACAAAGAAGGGAATAGGAGATTTTGTCTGTTTTTAGGAGAGATTTGCTTTCTTATGCTAGAAGTTATTATGATTTGCAACAGAAAGAGTAAAATGTGCTAAGGGCTGAGTTTGTATTGACATTATTATTATTTCTAGGCATTTTCCTTGCAGAGGTCAGAGTGTTGATATTGCAACCATTTCCATCACATCCCCATCACACAAATAG